AAAACTCACATTAATAAGATACAAAAAATACAAAACAAACTTCTCTGCATTATCTTGAATAAATCATATGACACGTTAATCAGAGAACTATACTACACAGACAGACCATCCGGGAATACATCAGAAACTCAATGGAATCAGCCTATAACACTAAATACCATAATCCACTAATTAGAAACACCGGAAACTATCAACACATCAACAATATGTCATTCAAAATAAAAACCGGACTACAAAAAACACACAATTTACGCTGGTAGACTAACGCACTGTACACAAGAAGAACTCAACAGAAAATTTGTTTGCAAATTTTCCTAAACATAAATCGAACTAAACAACCAAAATGATTAGGTAATGACAAACAAACCTCTCATGTTAAATACAGGTGACACCACCCCAGGCACTACAAGAGGACAAGCACACAAAACCTAGCAAGTCACTATGTAACAAAGACCACTCTTATTGTGGATTCCCAAAGATACCATTCATATTAGGCAAAATTAGGTGACCTTACTTAAATGGACTAGATAGTATAGTATATACCATGTTAATATCGTGGCATGTCGGTTAAATGTAACAATTGAAAACTTATATCTCAATAGCAATTCATTAGTAGAAATCATAATGAAAAATATATGTATTTAAAATGTCCATTTGAAATTTTAAATGTGATTTTTACAGGGTTTGTCAAGATTACCACAAGATCAAATAAATACGATCAACATATGTCGAGACGTTTTTAAAATTATTACAAGATCAAACAAATACCATCAACATATGTCCTCCAAAACGTAAAATCTTGTTGTTCATAGATAAATTGAACACACTGTGTGTCTTTTAAAAAATATAAGTAATTTATGTTTAATATGCAAAGGAAAATATAGTAGGTCCCTTCGTTACTCGAATTTTCGACTTTTAGCTATTTTTATTATATATGCATGGCTAGCTTGAGATTTTATACACGAGGACAACAAAATATATAATTCAAATGTTTAAGGCCATTCTTTGATGCTATTCTTAAGAAGCGTAAGACCAATTTCGACAGCGAAGGCACAGTACTTTGGCATGCCTTTTGTACAGAAAACAAATATGATAAACTCTCCATATTTCAAACATTGAAATTACATTTTATGCATAATAATTACAGAAATAATTATTACTTTTAGAAGAAAATGATGACAAATAATCTTTATTAAATATCTATATTATTAATCTATATCATTAAATAGTCTTTGTTATTAAAAAATAAATAACATAAATTTACATTTATTACGAATATGCACAAAAAATTCTATTCCTTGTACATCATACCATTTCGTGAAATTTTTAGATTATTATATAGACAATTAATTGATATGAAACAAATTATGTACTTACGTACTTCTTACATTTTATATTGTGAGCGTTAAGTTTAAATGAAACATTTAATTGATGTATAAAACAATTAATTTTTCTTCGAGTTATTTTTTAATTAATTTAATTTATAAAGTTTTAAAGTTCATTTAGTTAACAGATTAGAATTCTATTCGTTAGAAGAGAATTAAAAACAAAATGTTGAACAGGAAGAAATATCTAGAAATAAAGTGTGACAAATATTTGCGTTGTTTTGAAATAATTTTGTTCGTTTACAGAATCGGTGTAAAATAATTCTTAAATGCTTAACATAATATAATAAGTATTTTTTCTAGGACTAATAAATATTTTAAATCGTGTATAAAAATAAAAATAAAGATGACTAATACATTGATAACTTTTAAATAATATAAATAAGCAGTTTAAACATATATATATATATATAAAAATAAATTATATTGAAATTATAGAGATATGTAAAATTAAAAAATATAAATAATATTCATTAATTTGCATGAATTATAATATTTACATATCAAATTATATACATTTAAATTTGAGGTCTTCACATTTGATTCAAACTTCTTCAAATAACAAAGAAAATTTCTTTGTTGTTTGAAAATAGTTCTCAGTATCATTTTTATCAATGATATCTGTTTTAATAAACCATTATATCTTCATTCAGAACAGAATAACAGAATAATATAATAACTAATGATAAATATTTTCAACATCGTTTCATTTCTGTTGATTATTATGAGACCAACGTAAAGCAAGAATATTAAAAAATTAGGTTTCCGCTAACTTATAATTAATCACCCAAACCAATTATTCACGAAAGAATTGAATCCGTTACTAAGGGATGAAAAAATTCCGCTATTTGCTTCGGATGCAGTATTGGTTCCAGAATGTGGTCGAAAATGTATTACATGATCTCGATTAATATGGTCCCTGTTTCCATTATAAAAATTGGATCCAGTTTCATCCTCAATTGGATGTCTCTATTATCAAAGTATGTAATAAGATTAAAATAAATTAATAAAAAAAATATAGATATTTCATATCGTAATATGTATACAGATTCAGATTTATAAAACAGCCTCTGGCCGTTGAATTAGAACCACTCAAAATTTTCATTCTTTGTGTTCTAATAAAATTATTTTCTATTAAAATTAATTTTTCTTAATAATTTTCTAATAAAAAAGAAGGAAAAGGAGGATAATAACATGTTGAATTTTTCAAATCAAGAGTATGCTGTTAGGTACAAATATTTTCAGTGATAATAAAGTTGCTATAGATGTATGCCAATATGTATTAGTAGTTGGCTGTGATATCGATTATATATATAATATAATATATATACAATATATATAATATAATATAATATATATACATATATATAATATATATACATAAATATACATATAAATAAATGTCTGAATAATAATTTAGGTAGCCAAAGACAATTCATGACATAATGTTGTAGTTAAAATAATGAAATTTTTGCATGTGGTTCTGATTTAATAGTCAGAAATTGTATATTTTAAAATTTTATTATTAATGTAGAAATAGATGTAATTAGTGAAGTTATTTTTTTATATGTCTGATTATTGACTAAGAAAGTTTGACTAGTAAATTTGATATAAATGTGAGGCTTGAGTGAATGTAAATTTGGTCGTAGATGGTGTAGGACACGACGAATTAAATAAATAATTGAAAATAAATGATTTAAAAGTTCAATCGATTACAATTATAATACATATAATGTTATAATTAGACTGTGGAAAATTAAATGTAAAAACAGACAGAGTGCATAAAATATGTAAAATATCCGAAGTACATTAAATTTTATAATATTTAGTAAATTAAAACATCACGTTGTTTTTATTTCTGTAGCTAGTTTATAAAACTGTTTATAAAAATTTGAATTTTCATACATATTTACAATCTAGTTATAATGTTATATCTATTATGTATCTGTAATTTTTATAATATTTTGAATGAATTTAAATAAGGCGACTTTTTTTTTTATATTCCTACATTAATAATATACTAGTTATATTGATATTTATATTTTATAGGAATACTTTTTTTATAAAAATTCATTTTTTTAAATCAATTCTAATTAAATATCTAATTAATATTTTATAGTAGTGTATGTGTATCTAAGTGTAGAGTTTTTGATCCGTTTCTTTCAAATTGCTCAATAAAAATATCAAGACTTTGTTCACAAAAAACCTTAAAACTTGAATTAATAAAATTTTAAAATTAATATGAAAATAAAACCATTAAAAATGTAACTAAAAACAGTACATAATTGTAATTGTGAAATAATATATAACTATTTGCATTAATTTTTTAAATCATACTTACACTTGCTCTGTACAATGTTACATTGAAAGACGTTGGATGTTGTTCTACTACTCTAAATTCTACTTCACGTGGAAGATATCCATTTGCATATACCTATAAAATATAATAATAAAAATTGTACAAATAAGTTAATTACATACTGTAATATACAATTAAGTATAATATATTATCATATTGTTATATATTATTTAATTGTTTCAAAACTTACTAGCAACATATTAAATAATATAGGCATAAAAATATTGTCCATTTTGTTATTGCTGGATTGATGTTCAAAAAAAGTTACCTCTAATTTGTACATTCCTGGCAGTAAAATTCTCCAAAATTCACCATATTTTGTAGTAAGAAAACTAACATCCCGTGATTTCACTTTGATAGATGCTCTCTCAATGGGATTTCCATTTTCATCGATAACAAATCCACGAACTCCTCTATGAGCTTCCGCTAAAAATTTAATGAGAGCCTAAAAAAAGTCAAAATATGTATATGTATATGAAATTTTTTACGTTTTAACATGAAGAGTAAGTTGCGTAAAAATAGTAAACGAAGTATACGCAATGTAATTATAATAAACTAAATTTATATTATTTTATTATGACTTCCATGAACTTTTTGACATTAAATGTTGAAAAGAAGAATTACCAGAAGAATTCTAAGAAACAAGAAAATATATTGTAGAGAAGACATTTAGCAACATGTTAACTTTTAAAATATATAACTAATAACTTTTAAAATATATTCTTGTCACTTCAATTTATTAATTTCGGCTAAAGAAGTACTTTGATTGCTGTTGTTATCTGCCGATAAAATTCTCAGATACTGTATTTTGAATTATGTCCGTTTGCTTGCCAGTGTTAAAGTGTAACATTCAAAAGTTAATCGTCTTAACTGTATATCAATTTTGTGCAAATCTTTGCAGATAAGTATATTACAAGTATTTAATTGTTTTGTTAAAAATAATGAAATGTTGGAGAAACTAACGAGCGATTGATACAAACTGTCTGAATAGTACGATGAATATTACAAACAGAGACTTTTAATGACATTGTTATTTCTTAAAAAGTATGGATGAATTCAAGTAAATACACCCATCAATAAGATTTTGCAAAACCATTACAATAATTTCAAATTTCAAGCAAGCATCAATAAGTTAATAGCTTACCACGCGATTCTCCTCCCAATAAAATTTCAAGTCAGACGCGGGAGGATATTTGCAACACGAAAGTTCTAATGTAATTTCCATACATCCATTCCACACGTAGTTAAAATCTTGCATTCCACCGGTGAGTGGATACCATTGTGCTCCGTTAGTGATACCGTTTTTAAATCCCGGCTGAGATGGCGAACAGGGCAATCCTTGATACATGGATCCATGGTTTCGGGAATACACCAACGATAAGTGTTGAAATACATCATCATCTGGGGAAATACTTGGCGCCGAAGTGTAACTCTGAAACACTAAATTGTTCGTATAAATCTTGGACCTGATTTATCTTTAAAAAGATTTCGAAAATTTTGAAATTTCTATAGCATCCTTTAAATGCATTACGAGTTATAATTTATCTAATCTATTGATTAATTTATCTCAAGAAACTCTCGTGATACGCTGTCACGTCGATCCTTTATATTCTATCATGTTCAAATATCTTATTTTAGTGAAATTTTATTGTCGTTGTTCAATTGAAATAAAATATTAATAACAATCATACTTTCAATAATAATAATATCTATTTCTTTGTCTTTCTGTACAAGTAGAGTAATTGCGAGAGAGATATCGCACTGTTGCGTTCCGAATGTTTAAAATCAAAGTAACAAATCAATAGCATTGTTGATTACATTTGTTCAGAATGAGTTTTGTTTGTCTTTCGATATAAGTGCATCACATTTTGCTTTCGTAATTATATTTATGTATTTACTTCGACTGTCATATTATTGATTGATTCCAGGTTAATAGGCGAATCTTATTTACATATATATTTATGCTTTTTTAATAATATAATATCCTGATTTAATAATATAATATCCTGATTAAATATCCTGATTAAAATAATATAATTTTATTAGCTTATTATTTATAGACATTTTATTAGTTTATTAGATACTTAGATTAATTGAGAATAATATTGTTATACAAATGTGTTTTAAAACTTAATATTTTTTCAGGTCAATCGAAAATGTTACGTTTTATGTATAAATGCATCTCTAAAAATACTGATTCAGATCCAATAAATTCAAATGTAAAAAAATTACAATCATAAACGCTAATTTGTAAAATTTATCTTACTATCTCTCTGTAATAAATAAATTTATAAGAAGTCCTTTGTTAATCGCGATCAATAGCGCATGCTGACTTTTATTTATATATATATTATACATTAAAAAAGCACTATGAAGTGCTTCTCTGTCAAAATAAATAATTTTTGCAACATGGAAATAGGAAAACGTATCGATTTTCAGATGTTGCGTATTTAATCAGGATGCTGCACTATTTCTATGGAAGCTAAGTTGAAATGATACCTTTCATGTCTAAAATACAAAATAAATGTTTTGAAATAAATCATTGAAATCTTTTCAATGAAAAACCATTTATTTTCAAAATTTGATAATCGAACATATTTACGGACTTTTTATTTGTTATGAAGCTGCTACAATAATGCTAAGTTTAATTAAAAGAGAAACATTTACACTTACGCTATAGAAAACAAAAATAATTAATCGATGTTGCAGGATTTCAGAAAATAATAATTTGTCACGTCATTCTATCTTTAATAATTTATTAAATAAGAAGTAATCAATAAGCAAGTTTAAATTGAAAATTTTTAATCTTTGAAACATAGCTTTACTCTTGAAAATGATGAAAGAGATTTTTACTTTCAATTTTTTTAAACGTGATGTACATTGAAACTTAAATTTATTTCAATAAAAATGAATACAAATAGCGAGTACAAACAAGTACATTTTCAAAATATATGACATCTCTCTTGTAACTTCTCAATATTATTCGAATAAACAATATATTTTTCAATAAGGCAAGTTGTAGATGTGATTATAAATAACTTGATTAAAAGAAAAGTATTTTATCAAATATTTATACTATTGTATTATATTTTATTAAGCTACTTGACGTGAGAGTATGTTTGTTGGATAAATATTTATTTTTTATTCTTATATTGTTACTTAATTGAAGGAAAAGTATTCTATCAAATATTTATACTATACATTATATTTTATTAAGCTACTTGACGTGAGAGTACGTTTGTTGGCTAAATATTTATTTTTTATTCCTAGAAAAATATTGTAGAAGCGTTACGACAGATTTTCTGATTAGTAAATATACTATACCTGCACATAATGGCGCTGACCGGCATATTCCTGACAGCATGAAAAGTTACACAATACGATCAGATTGCTTTCAATTAAATTAACGAAGTTATACAATTCAGATCATAGCATTAATTTGCTTAATGTTTAACATATAGATGTGTACGTCGTTATACTTTTAATGATCTATTTTCAAAATATAATATTGCAGATCTTTTAATTCAAATATGAAATACATTTCAATGTTTATGTAATAAGTTTCTTAGCAAAAAATGATTACATATAAAAACAGACTTACGCGAGTTAGGCGTGTTATCGAATGGATAACTTGCAACTAAGGCACCACCGTGTAAACTTCCAGATAAAACGAATTGAATTTTCGAGACCCATTCCTTTACAGCTTCTGTCTCTGGTTGACTTTTCTTGTTATTTTGTTTAAAATAATCGGGGAAATTTCGATTTAAATCAAAACCACGTGCGTTATACCTTAAAAAGA